TCTCTCTCTCTCTCACTCTCACTCACTCACTCACTCACTCTATCCATTCATCCGTCCGTCCGTCCGTCCGTCCATCCATCCATCCATCCATCCATCCATCCAACCATCCATCCATCCATCCATCTGTCTATCTATCTATCAGCATGTCTGTCTGTATGTAGTCTATTTTTCTAAAATAATCTACTCCGTATGTTTGCCTACAGTTATCTGAAAGATATAATTCCGCTTGACAGTGGTTAAAGATAAAAACACCACTCACCTTTTCCTTTCTCCGAGCTCTGAATGCTCGAGTTGGACATGTCGCCCTTCTTGCGCAGCTTCCGGTCTGGATCTGTTTCAGCCTCCGCAGACGCAGACTCTGCCTCGTCTTCCTCCAGGAGAGCTGTAGATGATGTCACAAAGGAAAAACATGGAATGAACGGTTTCAACATGTATTGGGGGGATTGGGGGAGGGGGGTGTCCTTTGCAGACAAGTATCTGAGCAAGGTGGTGGGGTGTGGAGAAAGAGGGGGAGAGAGGGGGAGAGGGGGAGAGGGGGGGAGAGGGAGAGTGGGAGTGAGGGAAAGGGAGAAATAGAGAGCAAGAGAAAGAGAGGGAGAAGGACAGACAGACAGACAGACAGACAGACAGACAGACAGACAGACAGACAGACAGACAGATAGACTGACAGACGATACGCTACCTTAGAATTACAAATTTCTTTCTAAAATTTTGGCTGTTTTGGGTTACTAAGACCATGAGGTCAGAAACGAAAATCTCCTACAAATAGGTACCGCTCTTAATTAAATACATGTACATAGTGTAAAGTAGAGCTGGGCAAAGGATCGATTCCGGAACCGATTCCCACGGAAGAAAAGTTTCAACTCCTCTTTACGTAAACCAGCGGTTACCAGTTACTTTAATCATAAAAATCTTCTTTTATTTAAAATACATTTTTGAAAAATAAAAGTTGATGCTTCGTAGTGTTCCGAAATCAGGGTTACCCTAAATCCTGAAGATGTTTGAAGCCAACCAGGTAACCATCGGAAGAAATTACATCTTTAGAAAGTAAGTAATTGGGTTCGGAGTCGAGTCCTACGATTCCTAGCTTTCAATAATCAAGAATCTAGCCGCCCAGCACTAGTGTAAAGTTTTGATGCTGGAACTTACCATCCGTGTCCCTGGAATAGAGACCTCGAGCTGCCTCGGTGCTGGCACCGGCCACGTCATGACTGGAGAGAGCCGCGGCCGTAAGGGACGAGTGTTGGGGCGTGGCCGGCTGGACGTTCACAGTGGGAGGGTCTGTTGATATCGTGTCTGTGGAAGAAGAGGTTGTTCAGAGTTCAGAGGTCAAGACGAGTGGAAGAAGAGGTTGTTGGGAGATTTTTTTTTTGTAAGCGTGTTTTTGTTTGTGTTTGGGTGTGAGTGAGGGGGGGGGGGGGGGGGGGGGCGGGCAACTATACTTTCACTGCCGCCCAGGGAGTATACCTGCGTCCACTAGATCGAGCACATACATAATGGGGAGGGGGGGCAGCTATACTTTCACTGCCGCCCAGGGAGTATACCTGCGTCCAGCTGTAGACCGGGCATGCTCCTGACACTGGCCGGGCCGGCACCGCCGCTGAACTCCTGCTCCGGCTCTCGCGCTGTGTAGCTCCAGCTGTGGATGGACATGGTGGCGTCGATGTCGCCGCTCGTGTAGTCGATCTCTGATGGCGAGGTGGTTCGTCGTTGTTGAGACAGCAGCATAGAATTGGGGGGGTCGGTATCGCCGTGAAGGTAGAGGAATTGTGATTGTTCCGAGGTGTGTATCGCCGAAAAGGCAAAGACATTGGGAATATTCCCAGGTGTGTATCGGTGAGCCATAGAGGATTTGAGAATGTTCCCAGATGTGTATAGGTGAGCCATAGAGGAATTGAGGAATGTTCCGTGATATGCATCGGTGAGCCGTAAAGGAATTGAGAATATTCCAAGAAACGTATCGGGGTAGTGATGAGCACGATGACGATTTTCAAACGTGCCCACGTCATCATGGAGAGTACATGACGAGTGGTGGGTGACACGCACACGATGCAACGTAGACGTCGTCGTATAGGACCCGTGTTGGGGCGAACAACGAGGTAGCAGAGACCAGGCGCCGGAACAATTACGAAAAAATCCGACACGCCGTTGGAATCGTTGTTTCGATACACAATAGAATTGTAGTTTCCATTGTGATGTGATCGCAGACGAAATGGAGCAGGTAGTAAACGGTCAAAGAGCAGAGGACGTTCAGAGTAGTACGGGCGAATGACGTGTTTGTCAGTGTAGTCAGGAAATATGGCGAGTGGGAGAAGGGAAAGAGAGTGGAGGAGCATTGAACAAGGGGATACACAAGACCAAAAAAAAATTATCTTAAGAACACACACCGAACGAAACAGTATCACAGAGGATATATGCGAGTGTTTGCATGTACATATATTACATTATATATAGATATATAAGATCAGATTAGATTATAGCACACACAGTATGATGGTGTATAATGACTAGGGGAAACATAAAGATAAGAGAACGGACAAAAAAAAAGTTGCTATTACAGAAGCCGTCTGATGACGAATGATGTACCTTGCAAAATAGCAAGTGAAAAAAAAAAAGAATTCAACAAACTTAAAACAGCTTACACATAAGAGGCTATTTTTCGCAGCCCTTAAAAAATCAAGATTACTTCCAGTATAATCTACGTGCGCATCTGTTCGAGGACGGGACAGGATAAACTGCTTGAGAAACACAGATTCATTTGCGTACCGAAGACACCCATTCCTATTTTTCTAAATGGGTATAAGTTATCGAACTCTGTCGCATTCTTGGCGAACGTTACAACAAACCTCGTAACTCATTATGTTACGTCACGTGTATTCTCTTAAGAGTTTTACAGTCTCAACCGGATCGATAACTAACAATACTAAGATGTTTAGTTTTTCAAAGGGGGGGGGGGTAAAAACCTTTCTAGCCACTCTTATTACTATTTAGTGTACTCTTGTACATCTCTGAAAGTCGTCTGATCACTTTCTAGTCATACTGAAACAATGATCGCATATTTTTCCGTCTTCCAATAATAAAAAACCAAGAACTCTGCAGCCTCATTATGCCCTTTGACTGCGTCATTAGTAATTCATCCTTGAAACTGTGCAAAATGGAAACTTTGTCTTTCCTCTGCATGAGCTAGTCCACGGTAAAATTGTTGACTTAATATATGATATGATGCGATATCTAAAACGTATAATCAAACGCTCAGCGTTAACATGTACAGGGCCTTTGGCTTTATCACAACGTGGAGGCACTAAATAAAGGAAAAATTGTATAGGGATGAAATAAGCCACACACTTGAAACTCTAGAGTAAGCGGAGTTAAAGCAAATGGAATAGCTCTTTGGACAGGGGATCACGTACAAAGGGAAACAGAGATTAAAAAAGGATGGGGCTGTTAAAAAGCATGGCAACGAAGATTAAGACAAGTGAAATCGTAAAATAGATAAAGGCATGCAAGTGGCGACAGACAAAATGCATACAAAGCGGAAAGTCCTCATACATATGGGGAGAAATGAAAGGGCCGCAACATCAAGGAAGACAAGACATTAAGAGGAAAACTTCGTCCAACAAGAGATCAAGCCGGAAGCAATATATACAGATGCATGCGAAAGAAACAAGAAAGAGTGGTAAACCTGAGACTTTGGACGCTTGCTCTATAAGGAGTTGCTTTCCTGTCGTGCTCAGTTTTTCTAAATCTTCTTTGGACACTGAGGAGCTAGTGGCACTTCCTGTTCCGGTCACACAACATGCAACGTTAATATTACCACATCTATCTGGCTTACTGTTTCATCATTATACATTTGAACATACTCGTTGAGATGGCTTGCATCGAGGCATTTCTAACAACGATAAACATGAGAAGTTATACAGTCACATGGGAATTAAATCTAAGAAAGATCATGACAAGCATTTTTCAGACAAAAGACAATGTGAAGTATATATCCAAATTTGGAGATGGGATCGATTCTATCTTTATAAATAAGATTGAAGTAGCCCATTTCTAGTTTATTTTTTAGTTTATTAGCTTATCTGCCTTTTTAAAATTCAGATTCTTTTTTCAAGTGATCATCTAATCTGAGAAATAAGAGGGAAAAGAGAAATAATCTCACCTCGCTTGTGCATCTTCTTGTTACTTTCAGATCGCTGAGAAATTGAAAACTTTTTGGTTGCCTTCCACTCGTCTGGTTCTTCATCAGACTGGCCTGATTCATCTGTGCCCGCAGCTGGAAGAAATTAAAACGTAAAACAGTTTTAGACTGCAGCAGAGAAATTCTACCAAATTTTAAGATGGAGACTATAAGCAGACAGACACTGGGATGGATCCTGAAGAAAGGGGGGGGGGGGAGAGAGAGCAGAGATGGACATATTCCGACTGCAGTGACCCCAACACAGTGGACAAGTAAGACAAGTAAGACAAGCAATTCTACCAAGACATTAAACAGAGGTATTTCGAAGAAACCATGAGAAAGATATAATATGGTCAAAGAACCACAGCTTTACATTCATTGCTTTCTTTTGACAAGATCGTTGCCCATTTCCCCCAAAAAAATCTTGCTTTAAGATAAGTTAGGTATGGTATAAGAGAAACCCCTTTGCCACACGGCAAGGTTTATTAAGAGGCAAGACCTCTGAATGTAACTTCTCTCTACTATAGGGCAGAGGCGAATAGGTGGACAGCAGTGCAAATTCTCAAACCAACTAAGGGCATGATATCAAATAAGTTAACATCATGATTGTAGCTGCTGTTAGAGACAGGGTTGTTGCTGCTGTAAGAGGTATAGTAGCAGCTAATCGTCACAGCCTGAGACAATCGCTCGAGCATAATTTAAGAAAATTACGTGATAAGAGAGCAATATATCTACAATGGCGTTATCTGCAACAGATCTCTTGTCAACAGGTCTCAACTTCAGCAATTATATGATCTAATTGCGTTGTTGCATGTGCCGTAAAACCTCATCAACATCATCATAATCATCATCCAGTGCCAGATCTGCGACAGACATCGGCGACCATGGTTCTCCATTTATTCATTTGCTCGGATGCTCTTAAAAAGGCTACGTTTCCTTTATCTTTCTCTGTCACCCACTTGTTCAGGTTCCAAAAGTAGGTTGCTCTGGGCCTACCCCTGCCTCGCTTGCCTTCAATTTTGACAGTGAGAGCTAGATGTTCAAGATCCTTATGTCTGTTCAGGTGTCCCAAAAACTGCATTTGTCGTTTCCTGATCGTAAAACCCTCACCACAACTAAAATAGGTCCCCAAAAAGTTACTCACTCTCCGCCTGGAGTTGGTGGCGGGCGGCCAACACGTCACTCATGTCGCCCACGTCATGAGAAGCCCCGCCCCTCACCACAGATCCGCCCACACTGATGATTTCACCGTCAGGGGCCATGATCATACTACCCTTGGCAGACTCCACAACACTGCCAGCTGAGAAGAAAAGGACGAGTCAAATGAAACTCGTATCCTTTAGAGGGGCTGTATGCAAACTTCCACTCTCGTAAATACTCTTTCAACGTTCTGTATTCATCTTGA